AACTCCTGAAGTCAAGCCAGGGTTTCTGAACCTGACTATGAGTGTGTTTATATAAAGGGCTGGTGTTGGCACCAGATGACACATCACAAACATGGACAGATCTAGAGCTGATTATTTCTCCTCTGCCTCTGGCATGCCAACATTTGCTAAGTGGCACTCAACAAAAAGTATAGCTGAAGCTGATGGGAACAGGTTTGTAGATATTTGGTGATTAACCAGGTAAAGAACCACCCATTTTCAGTTTCATGGAGCTGGTGATATTCCATGAAAAGTCAGGGGACCCCTCAAGTTAATACAAGTCATTTTTTATGAACCTGACTTATGGTGTTCATCCTCTGAGGAGCATGAATGTCTGTTCCAAACTTTATGGTACCATCAGTCTTGACCAAAGTGATGGACCAACTAACACTCTCATTTTAAAGACCCATGCAATTTGTATTTGCATTGCAAGTTGGTACTGCTCTGGACTTTGACATAATGTGCTAAAAGAATGCAAACTGATGGAATTGAACCCACACCATGACATGAACTATTTTTAGATTTATTCACTGTAAGGTGTCCCAAATGATTTTGTGACCTCTGACCTGGTAAATGAGAGAGTCTGTTTTTGTCTTCCTGTTGATGTCCGCGCCCAGCTCAATGAAACATTCTGCCATTGTTGTATCTCCATCCATGCAGGCCTTTTCCAGCATGCTGTAGTGTAGTTCAGAGTCGCACCACATCTTGGACAGAGCCAGGCACATAGACTTTCGCAGCTGAAAACAAAGAGGGAGAAGAGGAGGCTAGAGAGGGCATTAAGTGTCCTGTGTTGAAAGGAAATTGCCAGAAATTTTACAAGTAGCAGACTAGTGGTTTTATAGGATTAATCTGAACAATCTTCAGGTATGTCTGGTATGTCTTGCATAGACCTTTGTACTGTACATTCCTGTGTGGCAACAGTGTAGCCTGTGTTTCAACATGCCTGCCTGCTGACTTTATCATTAAGACTTTGAGTGTACAGGCATACTAGGAAAAGTTCTGTATGTTTCCCATGTTTAGCATCTTAGCATGGTAGCATGGTAACATTTGCAAACTAGGACTAGATGCAAACAACTGACACTGACAAAAGTCAATTTTCTAATAATAAGAAGGTCATTAGTTTTGCAGGTATCAGATCACAAACCAAAGCATTGTGCAAACATAAAAAATAGCCCTGAAAATGGAGCTCAATGAAATTATTGTGGGATTCAAAGTGACCATGAGTCATTCTGCTGACAACATGAACACATCTGCCAAATTTTATCAAAATCAGCCCAGCTGTTGTCAAGACATCAAATGTCAGAGTGATGGTGGTGGTCTAACTTACTGGGTTGATGCTCTGGTCACTCTCCTCTCTTAGGCGCTGGAAGATCTGCCTGTCAAAGTCTTCTTTCTGCAGTGCAGCAGCTGCTCCTGAACAGGCGTCCAGCATCCTCAACGCCACCTGAAAACACTGAAAGACGAGCAGGCAGACAGGTCATGAGTAATCGAGGACAAAGCTGACATTCTGCAAGAAACACTGTACTTATACTACACCACAGCTTTTTGGCAGCTGTAGTTAGTTTTAAAATATACATAATCACACAATGGATATCTAACAAGCTTTTAAAATACAGAACATTGTTCAGCAATAAAACATGGATTTCCAACCTTTTTGGCTTCTTTGGACATCTTTCAAATTGATATTTTATATTCTGTGTATGTGTTACTACCAGCCCCAACAAATAGTGATTTTTGTCTCTAAACTTGAACCACATGGTTTTACATGATACAATATATAATCAAAATCAAAGGCTGAAGGAAATGTTCAAAAACAGATTTTTTTTCCCCAAGATTTATTTTTGAGCTTTTTCGCCTTTAATGATAGTTGATAGTGAAAGACAGACAGAGAAACGTGGGGAGAAGAGTGGGGGAATGACATGCAGCAAATGAGCCGCTGGCTGGAATCGAACTGTGGCCGCTGCGTTGGGGACTATAGCCCCTGTACACGGGTCGCCCGCCCTACCCGCTGAGCTATCCAGGTGCCCATGCTCAAAAACAGATTGGTGAATTTTAATTTCTCTCAGATCTTTCAGATGTAGCTTGTGATCTTGCACAAAAAAACTGTACATAAAGTAGTTCAAACTACCTCTACCTGCAGCAGCTACAACAGTAACAGGCTGCTGACACAGTGATGCTTCACTATTAATAATCTAATGATTTTGTATATGACAATATATCAGTCAAGGGATCAAACCAGGATTTTTACTTTATACCTAAACTACATTTTGCAGCTTAAGTACTTAAATAGGATTTTTCATGAAGAACACTTAGATTTGTAATGGAATATTTTTACGTTGTTTTATTGGTACTTTTACTTACGTAAAGGATCTGAATACTTCTTCCACCATAGCCTACACTGCTGTTACTGGTATTATGTATCCAGATTACTAGCAATCAATTGTATGAAGATTGTATACCAGACGATGGTTATTAGTTTATCACTGCAAATGAAAAAGGTAAGGATGTAAAAATATGTAAACAGAAGTTATTTTTTAATATGTGTGGCAGTGATGATACATGTGACATTTTGACATCATTTGAGTGATTATTCTCAACTTTTGAATTTAAACTGAAGTGCTACTAAAGTAATTTCTATGGGTTTTAGTGGGAAATTATAAAATCCAGTTATTTATCTGCTAATTCTTAATAAGCTGCTCAGTGTAAGCATCAGATGACAAAATATGGGGAACACATTTAATATCTGTGTTCAAAAAGAATAAAACAGCCAATCTAACATGTTTTCTGATTCGATTATCAATTAATATATGGCCAGTTTAAGCACATTATATTAAAGCAAAGCACTCATGTCACCTTCAGCAGCATCTCGGAGTCTTCTCTGTACTGAATGAGAGAAGTGACCACAACGGAGGCCAGAACAGGTACGATCATCCTCGACAGCTTCTTCTTGGACACGAGGTAGTTGAGCAGGGTCAGACCCCAGTAGTGTATCTCTGAAGGCAGTAAATGAAAACACAATTGGTTGTCTTTAATGGGTTTTACAATGTTTCTAACTCCACAATCCTACAAAACACATTCATGTTTGTGTACATTCTAAGTCAAAGAACTGCTTCATTTGTTTTTCCTCTGGCAGTTAAAGACAGAGGGAACAGATTCAATAAAGAGCCCAAAGTGATTAGTTCAGCATCATCTAATAACTGTAAATTTCCCCCAATGGGGAATCAAAAAAAAAATAAAAATTCTAATCATTCCCAACATTCACTACAGTACTTTAAGTCTGCTTTAATGAATGATCTCAAGGGGACAGACAAAACTGAAGCATGACTAATACCAGACATAGCACACTATAATTCATCAGCCAGACTATCATTGCAGAGGCAAAACTTTCCTGCTGGTTGCAAATCAATGTTACGGCAAGGTTCAACAAGTCTTTCCTTTAAATGTAATAATTAATGAGACAGAAATTTAATTTGGGGCTAATTTAGGCTATAAATGACAACAGTACCGCGTTCATCTGGGAACATTTGTAGTGTATGCAGCACTGTGTCTATCGCCCCCTGCTGGCACAGAAGGTCCACTGCACCAGAGCAGTCAGCCAGAGAGGACAGCACCTTCAAACCACACTCCTGTATGGTGGAGCAGCTGATGAACTAATGAACACAAAGACACAGAACAGAATTTCCTGTTGATTAAAGTCTCATTTAAAGTAGCCGCTTCGTGCTACACCTCTGTTCATATAACATCTCAACACCACTGTAGTCATGCTTTATTGCCATCAGTAACTACGGTCACCTCTCATCAACATAAAACTGAATAGTTAAACATTCATGAAGGTCAGAGTCATTGCAAACCTGTTGTATTACACTGCACTATTACATTAATTAAGTGGTAATTGAGGGTACAGAGACATTGCACATCCAAAGCACTACATACATTCCTTTACAAACACAACCTTAGGTTTTTAAATTGATCTAATTTGTCAGTGTGTCCCTATATCATCAAAGAATATACTGCAAACCACTTCCTATCCGAACAGCAGATAAGTGGCTTGAAGAATGATGATTTATAGTTTATGAGATACATCACATGTATATTTTTGGAGTAATCCAATTGGAAGTCAGGTTGCCTCCCTCTAATCAATCTTCAAAGAAAATGCTGATTCTTCATGCTTTACTATTCTCATAAAACAATACACAAAAACCATAAAGCTACAGGAAGACTAGCTGTCCGCAGTTTACGATATGTCTGCTATACAGTAGATACCATGGTGTCTGGAAATAGTGTTGTCAGTTTTTATGCTGTTCTTGACATAATGGACAGCTGACTGAAGCATACATATACACTGACAAAAGGTTGGGTATGGACATAAACTTTCAGACTTATATCTCACCAGTGAGGATGGAAAAATGCAAATACAGAGAGTTCCAGGTCTTTCTTAACTTTGGGTTCAAATGGATGAGATTCAGCTGATGAATGCCCTGTTAAGTAAGGATAACGCACAGTGCCGTGAAAAGGTATTCACTCCTTCTCAGATTCTTATTTTTTTCATATTTTCCCCACATTAATGTTTAAGATCATCAAACAAATGTAAATATCAGACAAAGACAAACCAAGTAAACAAAAAATGCAGATTTTATTTAAAATCATCATCTAAAAAAAAAAAAAATATTCAAAGCTACCTGGCCCTGTGTGAAAAAGTAATTTCCCCCTAAGCCTAATAACTGGTTTTCGCCACCCTCAGCAACAACGACTGAAATCAAGCATTTTCTATAACTGGCGAAGAGTCTTTCACATCTCTGTGGAGATACTTTGGTCCACTCTTCGTTGCAGAATTGTTTTAATTCAGCAACACCAAAAAGGCCATTCATGCTCAAAAAGCATGAATGGCCTTTTTCAGGTCATGCCACAGCATTTTAATCAGATTCAAGTCCGGACTTTGACTCGACCACTCCAAAACCTTTGTTGTTTTTTGTTTTTGTTTTTTTAAGCCATTCAGAAGTCAGCTTGCTGGTGTGTTTTGGATCGTTGTCCTGCTGCAGAACCCATCTGCGCTTTAGCTTGAAGTCATGAACTAATGGCCGAACATTCTCCTTTAGGATTTTCTGGCAGAGAGCAGAATTCATGGTTCCATCAATCACAGCAAGTTGTCCAGGTCCTGAAGAAGCAAAGTAGCCCCAGACATTTTTTACGCCAGATGTAACGCGACACTTCCAAAAAGTTCAACTTTCATATCGTCAGTCCACCGAATATTTTCCCAAAAGTCTTGGGGATCATTCAGATGTTTGCTTGCAAAAGTAAGACAAGCCTTTATGTTCTTCTTGGTCAACAGTGGGTTTTCACCTTGGAACTCTGCCATGGATGCCATTTTTGCCCAGTCTCTTCCTTATTGTTGAGTCATGAACACTGACCTTAACTGAGGCAAGGGAGGCCTGTAGTTCTTCAGATATTGTCCTGGGTTCCTTTGTGACCTCCTGGATGAGTTGTCGCTGTACTCTTGGGTGTTACTTTGGTTGGCCGGCCACTCCTGGGAAGGTTCACCACTGGTCCATGTTTTCTCCATTTGTGGAAAATTGCTCTCACTGTGGTCTGCTGAAGTCCGAAAGTTTTAGAAATGGCTTTGTAACCCTTTCCAGACTGACAGATGTCAATTACTTTATTTCTCATCTGTTTTTTATTTTCTTTGGATCGTGACATTTGGTTGCAGCTTTTTGAGATAGCTCGAAAACATTCATCATGTCTTCTTAATGATAATATAATGTTCAGGTTCTCTATTCAGACATGTAGAGTGTGGTTCTTATTACCTGACAGTTTCGGCGACAACGCTCGCCTTCTTCAGAGATGACAACTCACGTCATTCGCTGTCAGTTGTCATCTCTGAAGAAGGCGAGCGTTGTCACCGAAACTGTCAGGTAATAAGAACCACACTCTACATGTCTGAATAGAGAACCTGAACATTATATTAGCTTTTTAAGATCTTTTGGCCGACTTCATTTTGTCAGACAGGTTCTATTTAAGTGATTTCTTGATTGAACAGGTTTGGAGGTATTCCGGCTTGGGTGTGGTCAGTGAAATTGAACTCAGCTTTCCAAAAAATGTGCTTAGCTACAGTTAATTCATTTTCACACAGGGCCAGGTAGGTTTGGATAGCTTTTTTCCTTTAAAACATTAAATCATCATTTAAAAACTGCATTTTGTGTTTACTTTGGTTATCTTTGTCTAATGTTTAAATTTGTTTGATAGTCCTAAACATTAAAATAGGGGAAATATTCAAAAAATTACTAATTCGAGAAGGGGGCAAATACTTTTTCACGGCACTGTACCTCTGCTTTCTTAGGAGTTGATATTAGATAACATTCTGAATGAGAGGTATTTAAGTCCCAGTAGAGCTTTTAGTTCTCTTTGACAGTGAAAACATGTCGTCATTGTCACCATTACATTAAGAGTTTCTATCCAGAAATCCAAAATATGTAACCACTCATCTGTTTTACTCTGACTTCATCATATATTTAAGAATCCTCATTAATTAATTTGTGAACTGCCTTATGTATTGTAAACAAAATGTTGCTTATCTTCAAGTTGTAGCCCTGTGTATTCTTTCAAGGCACGAGATTACTATGAGATTGATTAATGTTATTAATATGACATTTTCCAGTTAGATGAGTGGGAACCAGAAACCAGGGTAGCAACCACAAAAACATGTCAGTGGCAAAGTGCATTTTTTATGTTGCTTTTACATGAAAAAAAAAATTAACTGTTAATTACTATGTCAACACAGGTGATGATTTTGGACCAAAACTCTTTCTATAATAAAAAGGGTTCTTTAAAGTTGTAGACATTATGGTCAGCCATTGGATTCTGACACGTGATGTTTGTTATTCTGGTTTCTACCCGGTTCAGTTTTGTTTTGGTCAGTGCCTAATGTCTAGCCGCAGGCAGAAGGGTAACAATGACTACATGGAGAGAGAGAAAAAAAAAACATGCTCACTACTTGTTCAGATCAGTACATCAACATTCTTTGTAGAAATGTAATTACAACCCTCCGATGTTTTGCTCGCCTAACAACTGTACCGTTTTTACAATGAATGGATGAATTGTTGTTGAATTTATGTCATGAATGAGAACCACATATACTGTTGAGGATTTGTAAAGTGGTGCGCTTGTCTTTAGTGAACAAAACCTAACCTGAATGGGGCATTTTTCAAGCTTTATCACCCACTCTTTTTGTTTCATGAGATATTGTTACTATCTGACATCAAAGCAGCCCAGATATGAAAACAAAAATGCTAAAATTGTGGAAAGAAGAAAATAGAGAGAATTAGAGAGATATTTTGGTGTTGTTCAAACCCTATTGAGAACTTCCAAGTAGAGAGTGTGAGCTCCTTCCACCACACACTGGTTTTTCAGGACCTTCAGCGACACATCAGCCATGTCAGGGTCTGCAACTGAGATGCCATGCTCCCTTAAACTCCTGTCTGATGATTCACACAGAACAAGGACAGAAGTAAAGACAAAGAGCCAAGCAAACATAGACACAGATACAATCGCTCTCCTATAAATCACTAATCTAATTAGGACTGTTACAAATGCAGTGGCACTGGAAGCAGAGCACATTATAACCTTATTATGATAGAAATTAAAACAGAACAAGCTGCTCCACTGAGCCGGCTTTACATCCCCCTGCTGAACAAAGAGAATGTGTTTTTGCTCTGACATACAGCTTGAGAAATTATGATCTCAGCTAGCATAAGAAAATCGAATGTATCTTCGGGACACGCCTCACTATTTGCGTACCAATTACACTGTGAAGCTTTTGTTTTCACACAGTGTTACATACTGTACAGAACACTGGCGTTCTTGGAAAGCAGCTACAAATATCAGATTCCAGCACATGTACTACATTCAGAGCATATAGAACCCTATAATCTCCATTGCCTGAATTGCATTACTTGTTTGAAACGGTTTGAAAGACAGAGAATGTGGCATATGCTCTACCAAACACTTTTTTTGTATTTGTGCTTCTCCTTCTACCTCTGTTTTGGTCACTGCCAAGAAAAAGAGAAAGAGAAAAATATTTGACTGTTTAGCTGCTATATAAATATTTCAGTTTGCTCACTACTTTTGTATATCAGAACTTTACAAGTGGTGTGACTGAGTCATAGAGTGCATTTTGCAAAAATCATAAACAGTGAGTAAAAAAAGGCCAAAATACTCCAATCAGGGTTGCAAAGTAAATGATTAATTGTTGTCAGTTTATCCTTAGAAGAAGCTCATTACACAGTGTTGGTACAGAACATTTTGTTTTTATCTTTTTTTCCAGAAAAGCTTGGTATGTGGCATCAGCAGAAACAGCCACTTTGGAGAAGTTAAGGTTGAAACTTTACCCACATAAATCTGACTGAAAAGACAACTGCCTACAACCAACATTTAATTGGCATATCACCTCTAAGCCATGTCAGAACAACACAGAAAAAGCACTTGGGTGTTGGCAAACAAAAATGAGAAAAGAAGCTTAAGCATACCTGGGCAAAGGAAGACCAAACTGGCCTGCAGAGCTTCCAGCTGAACCTCTGGCTCGAAGTTATGGATCTTCATGGTGCTGAGGATCTGACTCATGGCCATGTTCAACTCATCCAGACTGGCTGTCCTACAAATACACGTCGACTGGTTTCAATCCAACATGAAACATCATATCATATTTTACTTGCTAGTATATTATTAACGATGAAAGATGCTACAATCACAAAGTCAAAAATTAAATACACTTGATTCAAAACTTAATCATCCTTTTACACCTGTCATCAAAATGTTATTTTTAAAGCTTTGGTACATGCTGTGAGAAACAACAAACTGCTTTCCTTAGTGTTTTTCACAGTCCAAAAGCGTTCTTGTCTCTCTCTGCTGACATGATTGTCTAATACTAATAAGGACATCCTAGAAAGGAAACTGTGTTTGTGCCGACCTTCCCTGGAAGAGCAAGTGCAAAAGTTTGCAGGCGCTGATGGAAACATCTGCTAAGGTTGAATGTCTCTTCATCATCTCCACCAAATTAACATGAAGGCCGCTCGACAGCAGTAGAGAACGCATTTTACCTGCAAGCAAAGCAAACATTTACTGCAGCAGCTACACAAACAATAATGGCTTTATAATTTGTTAGAGACAGATACTGAATCACCTTTAGCTTCTTGCACTCTACCACATTTTTACAGGGTAATTAACAGTTACTTGTGGAAAACATTGGCAAGCTGTCAAAAATGATGACAAAAACAAACACTATTTTTGTATTTTTTCCCCGTGACTGAGAAAATGAAAGCTTACCAACATTTTTCACTGAGGTTAGTTAACTTCCACTTTCTCTACCCTCATTCATTTGATAACCACCACTATAAGTAGTCTTAAAATAGCGAGTGTAATAAGTCAAACCAGTCATTGGGATCTGTTTAAAGTGCCTACAAGTATTTAAAAAAATATTGATATTTGGCACCAGTGTATAAATAATGTATCACTGAAGGAAATAACCCAATACATTCCTATATTGATATTTTATCCTGCCTCTATTAACCATGTCTTGCTGTACACTCACTGTTGTTTGAGATGAGCGTAGCGATGGCACTGGTAGCAGCTTTAAACACACTGGGAGAGGAGGGGTGGACCAGCATGGCCGCCATTAGCTGTCGATGAACAGGAGTCCTGGAAAGCAAAAACTAAACATCTTTACATCCAGTTCTCAGCAAATAAACAGTATATAGAATAGAAGATGTGTGTGGCATTTCATTGCTTCAGTGTGTAGCCGACCTCCCATCCTGCTCCTCCTCTGGATGGTTCACTCTGGCTCTGTGCACTAACAGGTTGTGAATGGCCCAGCTTGCAGCTTCCTGATGCAGAGGAAGTGATTCACACAGGTTATTAAAATAGTACTGTAAATTAAATGTTTGCTCAGGGTCAAGGACCAGAAGAAGTTGGACTGACCTGAACTGCTGGCTCAGCAGTGTGCAGCTCCAGTGCTGTACAGCAGTCCTCCATCCAGCCCAGGCCCATGTCCTCCACCTCCTCCCTACCCCTGTTCTCTTCTTCCTCTCCTTCCTCCAGACCCTGCTCTGCCACCACTTTGTTCTGCACGATGGTAGCAGCTGACAGAAAGAGATAGTACAGCATAACTACTGAGCTGCAAAAGCTGTAATCTAACCATCAGGTATTTCAGGTGATGTTGTTAACATATTCTGTTCTTAGCAACAGCTGATGGCATTTTGTAAAAATCAACACTGTGGCTTTCTCAACACTACTGAAGACATGGTCATTACTGTGCTGTTTCCTACTGAGATCCAAGAAGCAGAGGAAAATCAAGGTTGACCCCGAGACTGGGTCAAATTTTACGGTCATTGTCTCATTTTCCAGAAAGAGGGAACAAAGGATGCTATAATCACATAAAAAAGGATAAAAGACAAGAGATCAAGTTGTACTTGACTGATTTAAACCTGAAGGAACACTTCGTTATCAGGTTTGCATTTTAGTACATTTTAGGTTCTATTGCACAAATATTATTCGTGTCCATATTTAGAGGCATGATGCAGTACTAAAGACTTGGTAAAATCAGTAAGCAAGTAATTATAGTGACTATGTAGAGAATGTTGGTCGGTGCCTGTGTGGGTTTCCTCTGGGTGCTCCGACTTGCTTCCACGATCCAAAGACATGCATGATAGGTTGGTTGATAATGCTAAAATAACTATAAGCGTAAGAGTGAGTGTACATGGTTGTCCCTCTCTGTGTTGGCCCTGTGATAAACTGGCAACCAATCCAGGGTCTACGTTGCTTTTCAGACTGTGAGCTGGAATAGACTCAAGCGCTTCACGACCCTCCACCAGATAAAGCAGGTATAAGCTAATGTATAGATGAATGTAGAGGATGTGCCATTTTTGAACGCTAATATCTTTATCACGTCGCTACGTGCTCATGTTGAGGACAAGCCATTGTTCCGTTGTCTTCATCACTGATCCAACTACGCGGACACAAATAAATGAGTTAAGTATAGTGTGTGTCCTCACTGAGGTCAGCCAGGCAGGAGAGGGCAGCAGCTTGCAGCGTGGCGTTGTCGGGGAAAGTCTGACAGGCTCTCACTGCAACCCTCTGGACACCGTTTAGCACCAGAATACTGTAGTAACTCTCTATAAGGTAAAACAAATACACCTTGAGTTAAACTGAGGCTTTTATTTCACCTCTTTAATCTTCATCTGTCGTCTAAAAGAAAAAAACACATTCGTTTATCAGAATGATAGCAATCCAAACACTGCTAAATGGATTGTGAGCATTCATTGATTTCACAAACAGTGTTATCATCTCCTAGTGGCAACAAGTTCAAGCTGGTAGATAGTTCAAAGTTATTCATTGTGTGATTCTGAGAGTCTGTGAGTGTTTACTTGGATCGTTTTTATACTGGCTTCCCGTGTTCAGTCCACAGTACAGCTAACACACATAGCAGAGCAGATCTTTCTAAGACAATAACACATACGTATTCAGCTAAAGTCTTTAAGTGTAGGTATATTTCTTGCATTATGGAAAAGGGAAGATACAAATGTGTGGGGAGAAATTCACTCACAAGTCAAACCAAATCAGACATTACAATGCATTATTAAATGGGACAAAATGTTTATCTCATCTTTTGACCGATTTGGTCTGACCTGATGTAAACCTCCTGAACAGGCAGCAGGCCGTCTCCTGCAGGTCCTCCACTTCAGGGAAGGCGTCCATGGCAGTGATAATCAAGCTGTAGCACCGAGTGCCTCCTGACATCAACACTTCCACGTTGCTGCCTGAGGAAGCAAAGTATGTTAACTCCTTAACAGGTCAAATACAGTACATGCTTTTTTTCTGTATTATCCATTAGCAATGGTCTAAATAGCATGAGCAGTATAATAAGAATCATTTAGCGTTCACAAAGACACTTAGCCAACAAAGGAAAAATGGAAAAAGCAGGTCAGAAAAAGTCTTTCACAAATGGTGGTAATATCTTAAAATAGCCTGGAATCCCCCCCGTGACCGTGATAAATCACACATCTGTGAAGAGCACGGATGTAAGTGGAAAATGTGTTTATGACTGAGACTTGTCCACGTTTTTTCATGTTCAGTTCCACTTTTCATGCAGAAATCCACCAGATAATTATAATTTCATGGTAGGAGAATGTCAAAGATATTAGCATATTTGTGCCTTTGTCCTGATATTACTAAAATTAAAGTAATGTATCATCTACTGCATTTATTGTGTGCATTTCAGAGAAAATGTAGGGTGCCTGTTGTCAAAACAATGTAGCGCAACAACTGTACTGGCAGATTGGTTCATGTCGGTCAAAATGCGTCAGTCATTGCAACCACAAAAATATACATAAATCAAGTTTCTTACTAAAATGAACAAGGATAAATGTTCTTTTGCCTTTGAAAAGTTAAAAGCTCATATTGATTTAAAATATCCTAACCAATAAATCGTCACAACTGATATTATCTACTATGTTCAGCTGATGCCAGATGGATTACAACGGCGAGTATGTCAACTGACAAATAACAAAAAATTGCAGAAATAACAAAGGTAAACACAGTGTTGTTGTGTGGTGTAATAACCAAACTCAGTTGGTGGTTTGTTTTTTTTTTAACAGAGGGGATGACTCAGTGGGAGCACATCCCTGCTTCCACACACAGACCCATGGAAATGGAATCTGGCTAATAAAAACAATTTGGACTTTCTGTATTCAGATAATTGCATTTGGTGTTCCAAAAAATATAACAGTACATTTTCATGGAGTCCAACTCAATTACCCGCTGCTTAGAGGACATAGTTGCATGTACATAGAGTATTCACTCAAGGAGCTGCTGTGTTTCTCACAGGAAGGAATTTCATTGAAGAGCTGACTACTTTTTCCTTCAACAAACAGTTATTCTGGCCCACAAACATCTTGATGCAGCAGGACAACATTTCATACATTAAATGGCATTTGAGGTAAAAATCTGATTTACATCAGGACTGCTTAAAAAGTATTACACTGAAATCATGGTCTGCTGGTGTAACGAGAAGTAGGCCATGTGAAAAAAAGAGAAGTCGTGGATGTTTCATGCTCCTGTTTAGTGATCAGTGTGTACTACATTACAAAGTACACAGTCCTAAAGCCCTCCACACAAAGAGAACTACACTGAATCTATTCAAAATAAAATTCTTACACTTTATGACATGCTGCAGCACATTAAGCAAGCGTCATCAGTATTGACCAATTAGAGAGGAGAGACCAGATGTTCCCTACAATTAGGTGGAAAAAATATGTGCATATATCTGGTACCTATGACAAGTCAATTTAGCATTTAATAGTTAGACTGGATATACATTGTAGATATCCACAATTTAAAAATGGTATAAAAGAAACGACAAAAATCATATTTCAGATATCCACAATGATGTGATATTGTTTCTTCCTCATTAGCATAATTGTGGTGAAGTCAGGTCTTACCAGGACAAGCAAGAGGAAGCAGCACTTTCATAGCCTGCAGGAGCAGCTCCGGGCTATCTGGAAACCTCTGTAGAACTGCCAGAACCACATCATGATCTTTGTTCTCCACAAACTCCTCAAGGTGGACATTACTTACTGGAACAAAGGCACAAGGGACATACTCAGCTACTGTACAGTGGAATGTGTAAAAAGGTTGATTTAAAACTAACTAAAATACAAAAATATACATATATGTACAAACATTAAGTAGCTAACATGCTAAAATTTACATGCTAAATGTAAGCAAGTTAACCTTCAATAGTTGTTAGCCTGCATATTACCATGCTAGCTCTAGGCATGTTAACACATTACCATGGTTGGCAGGCTAACATGAACAGTGCTGTGAGGTGGATGCTAAGGTTAGCATTAGGCTAAACCTGAGCCACAGCTGAGGCTTCAGTGAAGCTTCAGTCAAATCTAAAGACATGAAGACAAAACTGATAAAATGTATTAAAACTGTAAACTTACACACACTATAAACCACAAATAAACCATTTTTATCAAGGTATCAACTAGAGGTGCAATCAACCAATCAATCAATAAAATAGTTGTTAAATTGATCAACAACAATCTCAACAACAGATTCACTGTTTGAGTAATTTTTTAACAATAACAAAAAGGAAAAACTCTGTGATGTCAGCTTCTTAAATCTGAATATTTTCTGTTCTTTTCTGGTAACCACAATATTTTGGGAGTTTTGGACATTTGAGGGCATCCTCTTGGACCTATAATAATCAACACATATAATCAGCAGTGAAAATAACTGTTAGTTACATGGCCTTTCCTTTGGAATTACCTAACTTAACTTTTTTCACACTACTTATAAGATTCAAATAATGGCAAAGCTTTCCTACATGATACAGACATTACAGCCTCACAGGGCTCAACGCATACCTATGGACTGCTAAGCTAGTATAGTAGAGTTACAAGACTGAATGTCAGACCTGTGCCACTGTTCATTGTAATAGATGATACAGGGACAGACACAAAAAATACAGTGCTGCAGGACAAGGTAGACTACACCTGTCACAGAATATTAAGACAAATAAAATACATATTGCTCTACAGTATGTGAGATTAGAGCGTCGGCCCACCTCTCTCCAGGAGCAGCTGCAGAGCTGCACAACCTTGGAGCTGCACCTCTTCACTCGCAGGAAACGTCTTCATCGCCTGCACCACCAGGCCAAACACGTCCTCTTCCTCCTCCAGCAACAGCAGAAGAATGATGTCTATGTAATAACACACACAAATACTAATGTTACGTACAATTACATATTTGGTCATTTGTATTTTATCAACTCAATGGCTTTCTGTCATAATTGTTCATTAGATCTTGTTAAAACCTCCCATTTAACACACTTGTAGCTTTATAGTCGATCCGATCAAACAAAGAGTTAAGGACAGAGCTAAAACTATGCTCATTACTTAAGAACAGAGAACATCCTGGACCATGGATTAGGTATTTATTGTCATAATTTATTCATCTATACACCACGCATTTCGTTAGCACTTCTGGACTAACTATGCTATCTCCACACTTTTTGTTTCACAATTGCATGTTTGATAAGTGGTGAATATCTCCAAACAAATGTGGATATGACTGTGTAAACACATTCTTTGAAAAAAATGACTGTGACTTTGTAACACTTGTCTTAGTTTAACCGCAACCTTTCCCAGGCGCTGCACATAATGCAAAGCAGAGTGAAATGTATACTATGGCACATTAGTTTAGAAATTAGCATAAGCCAAGAGATCATTTAAAGAAAAAAACTCACTCTAAAAAAAGAGTTCTACTCAAGTGGCCTTAGAGGGGAAACCACCCACATACCAGATGTGCAGGATACTGCTACATACACAGAGAAATTTTATGGTCTAATGATTGAGTTGAGCAGTTGCTTCTTTAAACTCTTCTTCCTTTCTGAAACGTTTTGTGATACATCATAGTTTTTAGTTTCCTGATGCACTAACTTAATCGTATTATTAATACTCATAAACTCTACTGTGCTGATCAGATTTTCTAATAAAAGACAGAATCTCCTGGACTTTAGCTATGAGTCATGATAAAGGGTATTAAACTAACTTTTCTGTGCATTTGCCAGTGTTGTGTGTAGCAGGGGCAATCTCCTGTGCATACCTGATCTGAGCAGTAGTGCCAGGGCTCTGAGTCCAACCATGGTCACTTGACAGTCTGCACTGAACTGGGATAGCACCTTCAGGATCTGCCTGGAAAACACACCAGTACAAGCATAAAGTCAACCTATAGCTAAGTCAAATAAAGAATTTTAGCCATCTGCTTCCAAGGGCCAAACTTTTGCATATTCAAAAAAGGTTGGTTCATATTCTAAATATTTTTAAAATATTGCTGATTTAGCAACTTAAATATTCTTAGGCCATAAAATAATCTGTACTACTTCTTATATTTTTGTACGTACTGTTGCTAACAAAAGTACTAAAAATAGAAGAAAACATGGTTTCATTCAAAATGTTAGTCAGCAGGCAAAAGTGACATGATACAACAATCTGGACAGTTTCGCCAGTTCTGATGCGTGTGCAGATTTTGATTAATTTTTGAGCATCTTTAGGCCCTCAAAAATGTGATTGTTCTGAGCGAGGAATAATAATTCCTTGGATTCCAATAGGGTCCTACGCGCTTTCAGTGCTCGGGCCCTATTTAAAGCTGCAAACAGCGTTGGACAGGCCCTCGCACTTCCCCATGTGTTGGACGTGGTGCACGTTGAGGTATGGTGCATGTCGGGTTGTGGAAGAAATGCGCTCTGGACAAAGTGTCAATCACCTACTCACAACCCAACCATCCATCCATCCATTATCTATACACCACTTAATCCTCACTAGGGTCGCGGGGGGGCTGGAGTCTATCCCAGCCGACTTAGGGTGAAGACAGGGGACACCCTGAACAGGTCACCAGTCTATCGCAGGGCCACAACCCAACCACATTTGAAGTTAATATGGTCAACCAGTTATTATAGCAAATACAATGTAAAGCGTGTCCTTTTTCGTTGCCTGTGACTGTGAATGGATATTGGCATAGGGGTTTCCTCATGGCAGGACTGTTATCAAGTATGTAAAGTTTGAGGCAGATTGGAGCATGTACAGGGTCGTCAGATACGCTTCCTTTTTGATGGTGAATGATCACAATTCAGAGGGCCACCATTGCCACCCCCTTAAACTTTTGCGGAGCATTTTTTCATGACTTTTAATCACCAAGCCCTGTCGTATGCGCTGGCCAGATTTGAGGCATGTAGGAGTTACCCCCAAGGATGAGTTAGCTCTTGACTATGACCAAAAGTACAAAAAATCGTACTGTTGATTAAAATTGGTGGACCTCCTGTTGGTTTTACGGTATGGGTCCAAGAGGCTTTTTTGTGCGCCCTGAAGTGTTAAATATGCCTACCAAATTTCGTAGATGTAGGTAAAACGTCCTGCGGGGGCGAATATATAAATTGTTGCAGGGGGCGCTATAGAGCTATTTTGCCAGACCAGCATAGATTGTCCGTGGTTGAGCCGATAGTGACTAGTATGCCAATTTTGGTGAGTTTATGAGCATTCCTAAGCTGTCAAAAAGTCCTTCCCGTGTCACAGCGAGGATGCATCGCCATGGCAATGACATTGCATGAAAACGCAAACGTTTCACACTGTAGCATCGTCAACGTGGGAAGACTTAGTGGACCAATTTCATGGATGATGTCACAACGTTTGGAGCAATGGCACATGCAAGTGTATTGTCTCAAACTTCCTTTTACCAATAGGTAGATTTTGATAACTGTTCATTTTTAGGGCCTTTTGTATGTACAGGCCAAATTTTAGGTGTGTTGGAGTTATCCCCTATGAGGACTTCATTTTTGAAAATAATAAAAAAATAAGCAAAAAAAACTCACAAACAAATTAAAGCGGTGGACTTCAGGGTGCCGCTATAGCTCACCTGATTGAGCTGGTGTCCCATGTACAGGGCTACAGTCCCGATGTGGAGGTCATGAGCTTGAATCCCGCCCATGGCCCTTTCCCACACGTCCTCCCCCCACTTTCCTGTCTCTCTCTCACTGCACTATCGAATAAAGGCACAAAGGCCAAAAAAACAACTTTTAAAAAAAAAAAAAAAATGGCGGACTTCCTGTTGTGTTTCAGGTCTAGTACCCACTGACTTAGGTGGCACTGACTCCTACATATGCCTACCAAATTGCCTAGATGTAGGTGAAACATTCTGCCTGTACAAGCTGTTACAAATTTTGAGCCATAGAGCCATTTTGAGACACACACTCACAAGTCCCATAACATATCAAATTTTTCACCAGTTCTGATGTGTGTGCACATTTTGCTGAGTTTTTGAGCATGTTTAGGCCCCCATAAATGCAATTGTTCTGAGTGAAGAATAATAATTCCTTGGATTCCAATAGGGTCCTATGCATTGTCAGTGCCCTAAAAATGGCTTGAATAACTCTAACCCTACTTCACATAAAGCTGTAAGACATATTTAAAGAAATCCTTCCAGTTAACCAATCCATTGTTGAAGCGTAATGGACAAAAATCAACATTATACTTGTCATTAATATTCTTGAAATATTAAAAGTTACATTATTATTAAAACTGAGGCTTTTATTCTTCCGTTGGGGGGCAACTGTCTTGGAGACTGAAGTCAAAATCACTAAGAGATTCATAAATTCCAATGAGTCAGCTAAAATAAGACTGCAGCACCTCACATCACACAAACTCCTACAGTTGGCATCATAAAAGTTACATCAGTTACATAAAGTGTGTTTTCAGGTGAACTGCAGGCAGTGTTTCCACAGAGCAAAAAAGAAGTATGAAAACAAACTGAAAGTGTAAATAAATATCTAAATGTATGATTTGTGCTTTCTGTTGAACATGAATGCTATGTAATGTGGACAACTATACTAATGTGATAACATCATGTACTTACACATGACATGAGCCATCACAGTGACATGACGTGAAATTATTAATTTATTTATGCACAGCCATTACAGTGCATTGAATCCACAGCACCCAGACATGTCTTCACTTACTGGTGCACTCCCAGTACCTCCCACTCCTTGGCTGCCTGCAGAGGTATGGTTAGCTGCTCCAGTGTATTGGGACATATTTCAATCAGCTGACACAGCAATGACCAGGCTGCCTGTAGAAAGAAGAGCACACACTTTATCTGAAAGCTGCAAGGTACAGATGAGCCAATCAATCAAAATAACCTAAAAAATAATGAGAATTCCTACATGTCCAAAGAGAACAAATATACAGAGCAGCAGTTTAAGACAGGTTTTGCGCTGTTAAAAAGAGCACCTTAACTTGCAGATGGTTATGGCAAGATGGGGGAAGCAGCATTGGTGATTGTACTACTGACCCTGAATACAAGCCTCACAATCTGAGTTTCAGTTTATGTCATGCTGTAATCTTACCTCTGATAAGCTGAAGTATACAGCAGTCACAAGATGCCATAAACATGCCAGATCAGGCATAGGCATGTCAGCTATGGATGACTTTTTAACTGTACAAAGTAGAGACTATCTACGCAAATGGTGCTGTTAAATCTAACATCTGTATGAGCAGTTTAAGATGAAACTCGTTTCTGTTTCCTTTCAGCAACATTAAAACTACTACTAGGATACTTGCTGTAAAACAAACATTCCCAATTGCCCATTTTATTGTGTAAGAATAACACACTGTTGACACAAAAGGCAAAAATAAACTACACAGTCAAAGGTTTGTGAGGTTCCTGATGTCTTGCAGTACCTGCTGGACTCTTCTGCTGTTGATGTAGGATGACAGCACCACCATGAGGGGCACATGGACATTTTTGTCTTCAAACAGTTCCTCAGCTGTAACAAAGACCAAAAAATAAGAGGACGTGATGTGACAAGTTAGCTTCAACCAAAACCCTCAGTTCTATTTTTAAATGTGCACACCTAGGTTTGGAGAATAGCATAGCAACAACTAAAGAAGCCCATTGGAAGGATGCAAGTCTAGGCTGTTTTTTGCTCATCAAAGTAAGCATGTGCAGAAGAATGTGTATGACAAATTTAAGTGACACGTGAAAGATAAAAGAGGGATGTCAGTAGCGTTTGGATAAATCACTCACTAAAGCCAATCCACATGTTATCACATGAACAAAAAAAGCAAAATCAAGTCTATGTAAAAGCAGTAATACCAAAAGTCAATTTGCATCATTTAAATACTGAAGCTAGACCACAGGGTGTTTAGTGTATTTAAGTGACAGCAATACACTAGTTTACAAGTTGTGTATCTTCAGCTGTAAACTAACCATGCCCCTCTCAGAAATGCAGAGTCACATTTTGTCTGCTAATAAACTGACTGGACGTAATGGAATATTTTCTCAGTGTGGTATAACTATTTAATGTGGGTGAAGACTGTGTCTCTATCTGACTGGAGAGCCAGATAACATGGCCCAAGGAGAGAGTGTGTGTACTCATAAACAGCAGCACGGTGCCCATGCAGGACCAGTGTGTTTCCTACCGTGGTCGGTGTGCGCCAGGAAAAGCAGATCATGGATGATTTGAATCAGATTATCCAACTGTCGGTCTTCTTGGGGAGTTTTCAGCCTCACCAGGAGCTTCTTCAACCTTTCTTCCAGTTCCTCTTTGTTAACCATGGTCTTTGAGAGGGTGTTGGAGACTTGACGTACATTGAAGTCAATCAGTGCAGTCCGTCAGAACCGACACGAGCTCCTCTTCTAACGGCCACACTTATGGTTCTATGGAGAGAAACGACTAAACGTCCACTGTAGTCATTCAACTTGTCACACCACATTACTAAATATTTGCTATGTTACATCACATTACAGTAGCTACAGTACAGTTACAAGTGACTATCACGGCGAGGGAAGCTGGTCGTGTGGCGGAGTTTCGGTTCCGACGTTGACATCACCGTGCTCGGCTAACTTTCCTCAGGCAGAGAATATGTTCCTCTTTGCGGAGACTTTCTGTTGTTTACGGGGAAAGCCCGTGGATCCTCTCTGACAGGCGTATTCCTGCTTCCCTCCGGTCACATCATATGACTCAAGCCATAAAAAAAACTTCCCGTTTGTTGAAGAGGAAGCTGGAAATGAGCACCGCGCAGCGGGACGGCGGGGGTAAGCTGTCACGGAGGCGAGGACAACTTCACTGCCACACGGACGGTAGTTCACAAGCAACTTATAATCTCGCCTAAAGATAGTTTTAACCTCAAGTATCACTTTCAGGAGCTGCCGAGTGGCTCCCCACTCTGCTTCCCACCCCGGTGTCTTGTTTCAGTGGATCATTTACGGATTTATTAAACTGAGATAGACTTGGAACTCATTCTCACCGTATTCCATTCAAAAAATCCCCATTGTAATGTTTGTTTGCCAATGAGCAAATATTATTTGCCCGTAGAGCAAGAATGTAAACATTATGCACATTTTGGAAGGCAATGTTAAGTCCGGCATACAACAATTTGTTAAGTAAACATATTTCAAGTTTTTCTTTGGGTTATACTGCTGTCGCCGCCATCACCTGTGTTTTGTGTTGCCCATCTAGTAGTGCAAGTACGGTATTTAAACTGTCAGCATGGAGGGTCGTTCTCATAGTTCTGATCCACTGTTTTATGTCATCCCCTTTAACTGTATAAATATAAAATATTACTCAGACTTTTAAAACAATGTACTTCATGCATAATATATGATAATTCATTAGTCAATATTATTATGTTTACAACTTCTAAACTGATTGGCAGAAATAGTTTCCTCTACAAACCTAATTTGTATAGCATAATTTGAATGGGAATGTTTTTGATTACAAATAAATTCAGTTCCGATTTCAAATTATGTATTCCAAGTTCAATTTTTAACACAATTATTAAAGTTAAGCAGTTCCATTTCAAATCATGTGGTTCAAATTTAGCTTCTAGTGGCACATATTTTTGCCTAGAAAAAAATAACTTGCACTTTGTTGAATGTCTCAATCAGCAGATTTAACAAACGATTATTATTTTTGATCAATGTATTAATTTGCTGTTGCTTTATTGCCGTAAAAGAAGGACTGTTGAACGTGTCGTTGTGTGTCTGTTTATTCTTACAAAATACAGAAATTAAATATGTATTTTGGGGGTAAAAAAGTCAGAGTAGATGACGTAACACTTACATTCCCCTTTAAAAAAAATCTTTTAAAAATTCCATTTATTTGTCTGTCAGTCTGACAAGTAGCAGCTGGTATGAAAACAGGTTGTGACAGTCTGCTGATATTGTACAGCTTTAACATCTGTTTAAAGAAAATGCTGTCAGTGCTGACAAAGCCTGCCGTGGAGATCACTGGAAGAACAGGTGAAGTAACTTCAGTGGGCGTGTTCCCTGAGCCTCTCCTGCAGCCAAATCACATGATCCTTCACAAAAACTTCCTGTTTGCTGAAGAAGACATCGACAGCAGCAGAGCTCCAGAAGAATACGCTTTTTCAGAGGTAAAGTTATTTTATATAAGTCTGTTTGCACAGATAGTTTTTTTTAAAAAAAGGTACTGTGACACCTAATTAAGTCCAAAGGAATTCCATGTATTTTGGCAGGGTCAGTAATAACAATAAAACCGCAAATTAATTAAATAATGTTAAGGGCTAGCCCACTTACTGATTGTATGTCATATGAATAATTTTTTAAAAACAGGATTAATCCATATTATAGGTATTTTGAATATATTTTAAAAAAACATTTGAATGAAAATCGTTAACTGAATTGACGCCTAGACTCAACAGATTCGTGTGATTGATTTATCGACAACCAATGATTCGCAAAAAGTACATATTTTGACTGGAGTTTGGCTCTGGAGTGTAGATCAGTGGTGGGTTTAAAAGGGACCTTTGCAGCGGGGTGGTCACGTGACGTCACATTAAAGATGGCGGAGGGTACCCGCTGTGTTGTCAGTGTAAACAAACATGTCAAGTCAGTTTAAAGACAGTAACTTTCATTTCTCACGACATGACACTGAAATATGCTGCATCGACGGAATCCTGAGCGCAGTCAACCACAGGAACTTACTACGACATGTTGTGGTTAGCTACATTTGTTAGCTAAAAGTGTGTAGCTGTTGAAACCTCGATGTGTTAGTTTGTTCACTGGTGTCTTCTGGAGCTGGACGGCTGAACACCGACACGTCTGAAATCTCAGGTGGAGATTAAATGGCGTTTAAATGAATGCAGCTGCAATGTATCATTTCGATTGGACTGACTTTCCTCAGACCTCACTACGTTTTGAAGTCGCTTTATTCTTGTCAAATGAGCCAGTTCCTGTCAGCCTCCAGTGTGTCATTAATGTGCTCACTAAATAGTAGCTGCTGCTGTTTAACTAGCCCTTGGTGAGCTAAACTCCTGCTCTCTCCCATGTCCAGCAACCACAATGAATTCAGCTTGAAGCAAATGAGCAACCGTGTGGGCAGCAGGGGACAGAAGGCAGTGGATGATGGAGAGCGGAGTCTCATTGGACCTCCATCTGGGGATTCTCCTGACAGTCTCCTGGACCAGGAGGCATCCACGCCGATTTTTGTCTACCTGTTAGCATTTTTCTCAGCCTTGGGGGGATTCTTGTTTGGGTATGACACTGGGGTGGTTTCGGGGGCTATGCTGCTCCTGAAGAAGGAGATGAAACTGAGTGCCCTGTGGCAGGAGCTGCTGGTCTCCAGTACTGTCGGCGCAGCTGCACTCTCTGCTCTGAGTGGAGGCTTCTTGAACGGGTGGCTGGGACGCAAGATCTGTATCCTTGTGGCCAGTTTCATCTTCAGCATCGGTGGCCTTATCTTGAGTTTAGCCCCGGACAAGGTGGTTCTTCTCGTTGGCAGAATCACAGTTGGTTTGGGCATAGGTGAGTTGGTTTTACACATTTTAATACATCGTCGGTATGTTTGTGTACACTATGTGTTGGCTCCTTTTTGACCGAATGAAGCGAATTACTGTGGATCATGTAACAGAACAGAACTTGTTGTCCCAAGATTTTCTTTATCAGCGTGTATGTCAACATGAAGCCTTTTTGTCCTATCCATTAGGCATTGCTTCTATGACAGTACCAGTATACATCGCAGAAGTTTCCCCTCCACACCTGCGAGGTCAGCTGGTCACTATCAATTCCCTCTTTATCACTGGTGGCCAGTTCATTGCCAGTGTGGTCGATGGGGCTTTCAGTTACATGAGTCATGATGGCTGGAGGTACGCTTTTATTCTCTCTGCAGTGTCATTCCTGCTTATGGCTTACCATGACAGGGGTTTACTTGAGTTTTGTTTGTGCACTTTCTTGTTCTTTCCCTTCAGTCTTTGTATTGAAATGCCTATCTCTCCCTAAAATGTCATTCAGGACAATCGAGAGACTTTTAACATGCCCCCTCCTTTTTTTCTCCATGCTGTAGGTACATGTTGGGTCTGTCCGTCGTCCCAGCTATGCTGCAATTCTTCGGCTTCTTCTTCCTGCCTGAGAGCCCCCGTTGGCTCCTCCAAAAGGGCCAGTGCCAAAAGGCCCGTCAAGTTCTCAGCCAGATCAGAGCAGGCCAGAACATCAATGAGGAGTACGACACCATCAGACTCAGCATTGAGGAAGAGGACAAAGAGGCGGGTGGAGGTGAAAGATTACAGTGAAAACTGAAAAAAATGACTTGACTAAATGTTTTTGTTACATTTTTTAGATGTGGCATTACCATATTTCGTTACAAAATGAAATGTGACAGCAAAACTCACAAGCAGGTTTGAAACTGTAGAAACAGAAAGCATTCCCAGATTTGAGCTGACCATATGTGACTTCAGATTCTGTCAGGAAGATTAACTAGATCTAAGCTTGGAATCCTGATTTTCATCACTAGCACTTTACTTTACATACTTCATTTAAAAAGTTAAAAATAAACCATTTGCAGTAATCAGATTTTGTAAAAAACAAAAAAATTATAAGCTCCTCAGCACAACTGTCAAGCCATGACTGATGCAGCTGCTTCCGTCAGTCTCATGACAAAAATTCTGAGACTATTCGGCTTAACTTGGTTGAACTGCAGGTTGCGTTTGTACAGAATAGATAGCAGACAAGAATGGAAACAAAAATCTAAATAGTAAAGTATCTCTAGTACGTAGAGTCACCTCTTTTACAGTATTGGTAACACTTGTGGGCATTCAGAAAATTTATTTGAGGTTATTTTCAATTTTTGAAAAAGGAAATAGTCAATGAAATTTAACTTGAGTTTTTTTTCCTTTTGAAATGATTTAACATTCATTTTATCATTCATCATTTAACATTTATCATTTATCATTCATTTGAACTTGTTATACTAAACCAAGTGTGTGTACTGTTTCCACTGTGGTGCAGGACTTTATATTGCAATGAAAAATCAGCCCACATTAAGCAAAAAGGAGCAAAAAACACCTTGAAACCATCAAACCATTAAGGGTTAAAAAGAAATTAAGCAGTGAGTTGAAAATAAAATAATTCAATTTAAAGACTCTTGGTTGTTTGTTTTTTAGGAGGCCCTGTTATTTTACGCATCCTTAGACACGGTCCAACTCGCAGGGCTCTCATCGTTGGTTGTGGCCTCCAGATGTTTCAGCAGCTGTCTGGGATAAATACTGTCATGTAGGTTGACTGTTTATCTTTCAATAGCTCTCACATAATTATCTCCCTACAAAATGACACTGTTACCCACGATTGTAAACCTGGAATGATAAATCACAGTTTGTGGGTTTTCACTATTTCCAGAGCTGACAGACTGGAAAAGCTTGTCAGGAATTTTTCACTGAATCTCCTCTCCATATCCAGGTACTACAGTGCCACCATTCTGCAGATGGCAGGGGTGCGGGACGATAAACAGGCAATCTGGCTGGCTGCTGCAACTTCCGCTACCAACTTTGTGTTCACCTTGGTTGGAGTGTGGCTTGTGGAGAGAGTGGGACGCAGGAAGCTGACCCTGGGAAGTCTTATAGGTTTGTAATTCTTACAGCGGTGCAGTGATTGATTGATAGATGGTTGACTTAATTTGTGACATCCTGACAGATGTGATCCACTGTTTATAAAGGCAAATTGTGGCTGACAAAAGCTATTGTTATTTACCTTTTTCTAGCTTAATGTCTAGTTAATCAAATTTAATTTGTTTTTAAATGCATAACAAAATAGAATAGAGCTATTGCAGGTAGAAATGCAGAACAAAATAGAATAGAACTGTTGCAGGTAGTAATTTGATATTTTAGTTCAGTTAGTTTCGTGTCATACCATTGCATTTATTCATAATTGTCTAAATGCAATGATATTTAGACAATTATATGAGTCATAATTGAATAATTGCAATGGTATGACAAATATATTAATCACAGCTACATACAATGGATAAAGATCTAGATTTAGCTGTAGTCTTATGTAGATATCTCTGCAGGCTTTATTGATTTGTAATTTATGTGAGCAACATTCTTCTTCTTTGTCAGAGCTTTATTTAGTGCGTTTGTTTTTCCTCTAATTCAGGTACTGGTCTGAGTCTGGCTTTGTTGGCAATCGGGTTCTTGCTATCGGCCCAGAACTCTCCACCTGTTACCCTCCATCCAGTTGACTTTCAAAACTCAACCTGCAGACTCTACGGGTAAAAACAAAATCATTTAGCAGATATAGTGAAGTCGCTCCATTTCCATTTACTTTCAGAGTGAAACATTGTGTAGACAGTGTCGTGCCTTTCTGATGCTATTTCTGGTAAAGCCTCTTTTTGGTGTGAATTGTTTTTTATTCAGGATTTTGCTTACAGTCCACAAGAGTGAAGGATTTCTTTGTAATCTTACCACTTTTTCATCAGGATGACCTATTTGCGCAGAAGTCAGCTCAGTGGGTTTTTTTTAAATATTGGAAATGATCCAAGTTTTCTCAACAAGAAAAGTTCCCAGCTGATCATCACAGTTGCTCTCTCCACCCGAGCATGAAGTCCAGCCACCTATTAAGCAGCTGTTGAATAGATTTGTTTATTAAGTGTTTTGAGGAAGAGTGCATTGTCACATTTATCACAGATTTATATATATATATATATATATATATATATATACAACATTCCTCAAATTGATGATTTGATGAATTAATGACATTAGTGAAATTTAACTCCCCACATGAGTCCAATTTCTGTTACTCAATTATGGGAATCTAAAGGCTGTCTGAGCTACTGGCATTATTTAAACATGTAAAGAGTGCAGCTATATTTAGCTTAAATTCAACTGAGTACACTTGTGTGATGATTTGATCAAAGATCTTTCAGTATTAATTCATCTCATCCTTGTTTCTTCATCTTTTAAGCTTTACTATCTTTGTTTAAACAAAAGACTTAAGTTATCACTGCTGATAGAGTAGTGTGAGTGTGCTGCCCAGTAGATGGTGTGACAGCCCCATGTGAGAGGTTTTAAATTCAGTTCTGTGCTCCAGGTCCTGTGAGTTGTGCATGTTGGATCCGGATTGTGGATTTTGTTACCGGGACAACGGCACCAGAGTATTCGACTCTTCCTGCGTTTCTGCCGATCAAACGTCCACAGATCATGCAGCCTGGGGAAGGTCAGAAACTGATATTCTGTAGCTTTGTGTGACTTAAAAATCTTAAAGTCTTTAATTTCAGTTCACAGAGATATCATCATTATATGTCCTGTCTTGCTTTGAAGTGTACTTACAGTAAAAGGATCTGAACCAAAGTTAGAACACTTTGCACATGATGTGGTACTAAAACAGAAATTCTTTTGCTGGATTTAATAGAAACAGGCTCATCAGCGATTTCTTTCACATCTTCATTAGGTGTTCCAATCGGACAGAGGCAGCTGACAATCCAATCTGGGCTTATAACTACTGTCCAACATCTTACTCCTGGATTGTTTTGATGGGCCTCATCCTCTACCTTGCATTTTTTGCTCCAGGTCTGAAATAACTGTCTTTTTGTTATTGCTGTGTTTTTATTTTTTTCCAAACATCCAACAGGTTTGCTGTCATTTACACGAGTCATGTTCATGTTACTGTAACTGAACCGTCTCTTATTGTTTTGAGCTAGTTTTCATCCATCCATCCATTATCTATACACCGCTTAATCCTCATTAGGGTCGCGGGGGGGCTGGAGCCTATCCCAGAGACAGACAACCACAGTCACACCTACAGACAATTTAGAATCACCAATTAACCTCAACATGTTTTTGGACTGTGTGGGAGGAAGCCGGAGAACCCGGAGAGAACCCACGCTGCACGGGAAAAACATGCAAACTCCACGCAGAAAGATTCCGGTGCCCCCACCGGGACGCAAACCGGCAACCTTCTTGCTGCGAGGCAACAGTGCTACCAACTGCGCCACCATGCAGCCCCGCTAGTTTTCATATTACAGGAAATATTATAGTGTGGAAATCATTTTTACACAATCCATTTAGGACTCACACACCTTTCACTTACTGTACCGTAGTATGACACAAAGCAGCTTGCCAGGTCTAGGAAACAGTTTCCAGGCAAAGGGGATGCTTGTTGAAACCAAAGATTATTATGTATGCAATCATCATCATGAAAATTAACCAATAGCAATGTATTGCCACAAACCTGATATGAAGAAATGATATATGTACTACATATTGTAGGAATGGGCCCGATGCCTTGGACAGTGAACTCGGAGATCTACCCACTTTGGGCACGAAGCGTCGGCAACGCCTGCTCAGCCGGAGTGAACTGGATCTTCAATGTCCTGGTGTCTCTGACTTTTCTTCATGTTGCACAGTTTCTGACTTATTATGGTAAGACTCTATCAGGTCATCAGGTGTTGATTAATACGGCAGCCTGTTGTTAACTGCGTTTGAGGTGATCTTTTTAACCCTTCATGAGTTGTTTCCATTTTAAACTCCGCCACAGATCGGATTTTGTGGTTAGTAAACAGGTATTCCTGGCTAATCTGGTCATTTGGGAATGTGTTTTTCCCCAACAGATGTATGTAAAATATTTGTGTTTTTGTTTTAAAAATGTGTTTCCACTGAAAGTGTTTCCTGCAATTTTAGAGGAAGTCTTTTTTCACTTTCGCCTGATCCTAAAATGTTTTTACTCCCTGTGTAACCGGGCATATTCACAACACATACGTTCCTGTTTATGGAAGCAGGACAGTGGTGAGAGAGATGAGATCTACTTCCACTGAGTTTTATTGTGGTTTGCTTGATAAACAGGAGTGTGAAACTACCACATGCCACAATCTGCCACCGTTAAGGCAAAATTCACCCAGACAATGTTACTAAATTTGAAAACACCAAAACACCATACAAAAATGCATTTGATGAACACAGAAGACAAGTTGGTTGGGAGATAACAATTCTTTACACATAAATTCAAACCAAGTAGGCCTAGTGTACACCAACCTACAGTAGTGTGACAGTGTGTTCACAATCTATTAGTCTACACAGTTCAAAGTGCACATAACCTCCAATCAAAAGTTTGCTGTGATAAACCACAAGAGGCAGTGGCAAAATACAATAGTCTTTAATCTTCATTGAAAAAATTCCTTCAAATCAAGCCAAAAAAGCATCACTGGCTTGGTAGTAGATACCTCTCACTCCACGCAAATAATGAAACAAGAAAAAAACCAAACTTTTATTTTATGAAACTGCCTTATCCACGCTGCTCAGTATCAACAGAGTAAAACGCCAGTATGACACTGGGAGCTTATTCTGGCAACAGACAAGACAGTGCCATTTGCTTTCTTTAGCGATAAAAGGTCAATTTTGGTCACTTTCTTTCATAACAAACAGCCACAACCAGCCCAGCACAACATCCATCCTGTCCAACTACATTATATTAAACCACATGCATTGGTAGAACACAAAGTACATGGTGTGTCAGAAAAGTTCCAGGACCGGTGTCATAAAAGATATATTTCAAATCCAAACTACACACTACGAGTTTTCCCCTTCAGACCATCAGCCAGCACGTCTACAAAGAGATCCTGCAGTGTTTGCTTCGTTCAGTGCACGAGAAGAAGCAAGAGTTGTGGCAGGACAAGTCTTGGCTGCTTCACCATGACAACACGCCTGCTCACAATGCCCTGAGCATCCGACAGTTCCTGGCTGAGAACAACATCGCCGTGCTGGAGCAACCTCCCTACTCACCCCACCTGGCTCTACGGGATTTTTCCTCTTCTCCAAGTTTAAGGGGGTCATCAAGGGGACCTGTTTTGAAGACGTGGACGACATCAAGATGGCTGTGATGACGGAGCAACGGAGGATCCCTGAAGAATCCTTCCAGGAGTGCATGGCAGCATGGCAGAGAAGGCTGGGAAGGTGCATTAGACTCCAGGGGGATTACTTCGAAGGGGAAAACTTGAAGTTTGTAGTTTGGATATGAAATATATCTTTTGTTACATCAATCCTGGAACTTTTCTGACACACCTTGTGTAGGTGCCATCTTGCTATACAGAAGGTCTATGAGTTGGAGACTGCACAGCAGCAAAACTGTGCCTGCTAACTACCATTTTTCCATTAAAGTATTCATCAGAAAGGCATGATCTTCACTAGCTTAAGCACTGCGCTTTCTCTGGTTGTGATCAGTATGAAAGTGCACATATAGTTTAATAGAAGGAGCATAGCCTCATAAAAAAAGGCAAAATGCAACCACAGAGCAATTACAAATAAACATGCCATTGTGATTACACTGGCCAACTGCAATTCTCATTCTCATTTTTTTTTTTAAAGATTTTTTTGGCCTTTTTTGGCTTTATTAGGTAGGACAGAGAGAGAGACAGGAGAGTCGGGGGAGAAGAATGGGGGAAGGACCTGCAGCAAAAGGTCATGATTGAGACTCAACCCCATGACCTTTGCATCAGGGACGATAGCCCCTATACATGGGACGCCAGCTCAACCAGATGAGCTATAGCGCCACCCCCTCATTCTCATTTTAGTGTAGACATAAAAACAAGTAACCAACTGAAATGCCAGTTTGATCTTCATGATCAAGTTTAGGAAGCACATTGTTTGCCAGTTCGAAAATTAAATACAAAATCAATTTCAGATACAACTTCCACATCAATATTAAACTAAGGGGTCAGACATGGAAGTCCAGTTAAAGGTATTTATCAGAGGAGTTGGAATTATAGTTTACATTCTACAATAAGGAAAATATCATCATTTATCATTCATTTTTCATTCTTTTCACTCATCAGATTTGTTACCATAATAATCATGTAGCCATGAATGTCATACTTCAAGACCTGACAGTAAAACTGTACATGTCTTCCAGGTGCATTCTTCATGTACACGGGTCTAGTGGTGTTGGCCCTCCTCTTTGTCCTGGGCTGCCTCCCAGAGACTCAGGGCTTGCAGCTGGAGGAGATCGAGAACCTGTTCACCGGTCCTCTCTGCTCTTGTGGAAGCTCGTCACCCAATGACAATCGCCACGTCCACTACATCCGGGTAAAAGGCAGCAACTACCTCCCCTCTGACAACGAGGGCTCAGATGTAGAGTAGACTGGAAAGACTTTCTCTTTCCACTCTGTCTTTCTGTTCCCCTGTCTTTTTGTTGGAAGATTGGGAAGACTGCTCATGCGGGGAGAAAGGTACACATCATGTTTCCCTCTTGGGACTGTAATCAAACATGAGCCAAAAAAAGGCTTGAGCTCTCCAGTGATTGCTCGCTCGCTCGCTCGCTCAGGCAAATCTTTTATTAATCTTTTTTTTTTTTTTTCTCATCTTTCTTTGCCTTACCTGGGAGTTGGGTTGCTTTCCACTCTTTTTGTTGTGCATTCTTCTCAATTCCCACCATCCTCTCTGTCATGATAAAAGAGAACGCTAAAGCAACCCTTCTCAGCATCAGAGTAGGAAGAGTTCATTTGTGACAGTGTTGCTGGGGTAATTGAAATCCCAGGAAATTTTTACTGTGTCAGTAAAAATAACTGAAACAGATGAGATCACTCTCAGACATAGATAATAGATCATCAGGCAGCAAAAATGATCGATTGAAGAATTTTTGTTTTCTCAGAGAGTGCCATTTTTAGAAGCAACACTTTTTATGTGTTTTTCTCAGTGTGGTCAGAAATCAAGGGAACTGGTTGCTGAATTACTATTTCCTCAGCCTTTCTGTAGCATCAAGACAAATTATTTTCCAGATGGTATTAAGACGTCTTTACATGATTTCAGCCTGACATCCAGAGACTACAAACCAAATGTACCAGAGAGAATGAGTTGGTGTATTAGCTAATGTGTAGTTTTAAAGTCAGAATGATGTCAGAATCACACTTTCATTGATTTCTGCCATATTTGGACTTTTGCATATCTACACGTTGTGTAAAACATTCTTCTTAAAATCACTAACACGGGTTTAATCTTGTAATCTGCAGTGGTGTTAAACAAAACAGCCAATTGTGGGTTGCTGATGTTGTTTGCGCAGTGGGAGAGATTGCACTTTAAAAGCCAGAAATGTGTCTTTTTTTTTTTATGTTTTCCATATACCAAATTGTCCGATTTTTTTAGCAAGGTTTGGACTTCAGCCCAGCACACTACGGATCGGTGGGGTCAGACAGTGCCATAGCCTATATAACTGTAAGTACCAGGTCAAGACGTTAAAAGTAAAGCTTGATTCTTGTGCTACAGCAGTACTAAATATGCCCTTTTAATGTTCAATTCCATGTCCTTGTTCTTACAGCTCAGATAATCGCGACCAATTCCAACTGAACAGTTTAATAAACAGCACCTTTGTACAGAATGTCCTTTTTCCAGTTACACCCTTTGATCTGTGCTGGTTAACTTGAGTGATACTGATGGCATCTACAGGATTTCTTACTTTTTTATGCATTCTTGTTTTTATTTCAAAGTACAAACTTTGAAGTGTTTGGAATTTGCACAAAACGTCCATATGGGAACACAGAAATACTTGATATTTACAGCAACATATTTTGTGGTTACAGATCCATTATACTTTCACATGATGTCTTACAGACAGTGTGAAAATATTTAAAATGTGATACCATTGATGTCACCCACTATTCATATAGAACCAATTGATTTACATCCTGGGTGGTAAATGAAAAAAGCAAGATTAATTCACTTTGTATTGGGAAATGTACTGATATTCAGAATACTAGCACTGCCATTTTTTCAAGATAACTTATAACCTACCCTCAGGTGGACAGTGATTCTGTTTATACTGTATTGAGAGTTTGGAGAAGAAAAACATTTCAAGTAAAAGGACATCGATCCATTTTAACACAGAGACAAATGAAGTGTGTTCAGTCATACATATTTTGTATATGAAATGCTCATGCTGTTTCTAAAGTTACGTTACATGTGTCTTTGATGATGTTCTGTTCATTCTTGTGATACTTTAATAAACATACTCACATCAGAGCAATCTGTTTGGTAAAGTAAGTTAACATGTGTATGAGAGTCCTGCACGAACACAACAGAAAGCAGCGAAACAGAACTGTGGCTTTCATGTTAGCTGTGCTTTAAGGCAAATGTTACCAGGTTTTAAAGGATCGTTCTGTTACTATCAGTTATTTAATCCATTAGCTGATCTGATTGTGAAGAACATGTGGAAAAGTAGCAACAAAGTGATCTGACATTTCATCTAATTTGCTTCTTTTGTCTGACAACCAGCCCAAAACTCAAATACATTCAGTTTCCTATCATATGTGACACAAGGCTCAAATCTGTAGATTTTATAGTCTTTTGCAACCAGCATTTATTTACATTTTTTGTTTAAAAATTTACTGGAATAGTGAATTATTCAGTTCTAAAAGGTGCAGTTCCTCTTGAGAGTCTAGGCAGGCTGACAGTTTTGTTGTATTTGTCCAGGGTTTTTATTTTAGATTTCACAACATCGAAAAATGACAGTTAAATTCCCTTTTCTGTCATTGTACTGGGGTAGAAGCATAAATCACAGAACTGACATCCCAGAACCTAGAGAAGTCCATTATTTGCATGATTAGACACTAACAAAAGTTTGCTATACATCAGTTATGTGAACTAGATCCTCAGAATAAAGATTGGCAGTGAATGGGAGGAAAAACTTGGCTAATAGTATTGTTTTTATTTGGATTAATTTCTGTTTTGTGGGTAATCTGACTATATTCAAAAAGGTTTTTTTTTTTTTTTTAGAAAGCCAGTCAGGTTGTTTGTTACAGCTTTTATTTGACTTCACTTTATTACTTACTGACACGTGTCTAGTCATTAGTGAGCCTGTATTTTGCCATGCCTCCCTGTTCTCGTAACCTGATAGGCTTGTAATGGGACCCCTATATTCATGGTGCTGTTACCCAGGAGGAGGCAGTGGGGTGGAGTGCTGGAGGCCTTTACACACAAACTCTTAATATGTAGCTTCAGGAAAATCCAATCTGACTTTCTCTGCACCATGACTACAGTTGCAGACTCATGGTTTGTCTCTGTCGGTGTCAGGTGATGTTCATATTCAATTCATAGTGCAATAAAGTATTTCTGTGTAGTCAGAGCAGCAAGATGCTTCCGTGTCAACTCTTCATACTTGTCTAAAAATTTAGTTATCCCAGCACATAAGCTACTGAACAAATGTCCCCACGCTTCTCGATTACTTTCATACATTATTATGAGTTTTCAAGCCACAAGGTGGCACTAAAGGTTAACTTGAATGAATAGCTATTGCCTTGCATTGTCTACAGACCTTTTCTTCATGGATTGCACATGTTTACAGGTATATATTGAACATAACAGTGCAGATCATTTCAGATGAGCAATATGAACTGTCCTATCTTTTTACCAAAATGGCAATTTTATCAAGCTACTTGCAGGAAAAAATAGACAAATACTAGCCCAGAAGGGACAAGAAGTCTGCCAAAGCAGAAAAGACATGCTCAATGGAACATCAATCAGTCCTACAAGAAGCAAAAAATATGTTTAATTTTAAATCATATTTAGTATTTTATGTCATACATACATACATACATACATACATACATACATACATACATACATACATACATACATACTTTTGCTTTTCTAAAAAGCAGATATACACTGTAGCAATGTCTGTCTGGCTATTTAGTGCTGATGGGCCTAAATAAAAGTTCATCAATATTAGTTAAAACATTAAGTAGTGAGTTGAATATTGCTAAGATTTGGTCATTAAAATAAACTTCTTTGTAGTTTTGTTCGATTCAAGTTAAAAAAAACAAAAACAAAGCAACAAAAAGGCAAAAATGGGGATTGTGTATATATATAAATACAATAAATAAGTCAAATTATAACAGCAGTAAAGTAAAAAATAAAAACACAGCACTTAATACAAAAAAATTAAACTCCATTACATTTGTCATGTTTAGAGACTCCACCTTTCTTTTTGTGAATAGATAGATAGATAGATAGATAGATAGATAGATAGATACAAATATATACATATATATCAGATTTTTTGAAAAAGGGATAAAAAAAAAAACAGAATTACGATAAGATAGAACTCTCACAGTGCAAATTAATGTAACCTGACTATATATTTAAATTTGTCTTATTTTACAGAGGTGGGAGGACCACACGCCCCGTAATTAGCGGTGTCCCTGTCACCTGACTGTGGTGTAACCTCAGCCCTGTGATTACTGTAAATCTGTAAATTCACACCGATTCTTTCTTGTTTCTCACTGAATGTGGTGACCAGCCTTGTCATGACGTCACCTCGTGGTCGGTGGGCGTGGCTTGCTGACGCATTGCGGCTCCCTCCCGGTGCGTCAACGGAGCGAACGGAGGCACGGCGGCGCGTGGATGTCTGTCGGTGTGTATGTGTGTGCACGTGTATGCGCGCGCCGCCAGCCAAAGGCTCACCTCAGCTCGCGGCAGTGGCGGCAGGAGCGGCAGAGTGAACGTGGGCTCGAGCCGGAGCTGAAGCATCCGGGCCGAGCTGCTGAGAGATGCGGCTCCTGTAGGCGCGACATGCGGACACACCAGCCAACTCCTTGCCGAAACCATGCTCCAAAAAAAGAAAAAAAACCAAGAGTGCACATATTTTGGTGTTTGTTTTGAAATGGCGGCGCTGAAGTCGAGGTGAGCTCGGTCCTGTTGAGGGGAGTGCGCACTCTTTTCTCGCTACTCTGCCAGGGCAAGCCGCCAGCAGAAATAAATCCGCTTTTTGTTCTTTTTTGTGCCGACTATTGGATGAGGAACCATGACGACGGGGCAGGATGAAAGCACGGTCCGTGTGGCGCTGAGGTAAGTCACTGAAACGTCTTGTAATTTTGCGCTAACTGCTAAATGCGTGGCAGAGTTAATTGGCCGGTGCCACCTGTCAGGCAGTGCTGCGGGCCTAGCAAACACCTGCAGGTCATCAGCAACATCTGCTCACCTACAGACTCACTGTTTCTACAATATATCCGTTTTTACACAGGGACCCAGTTCAAGCTGGACACCGTCTGATGCTGGTGCCGACTTTTCTGGACACATTTTCTCTGTATTTGTGGTTTACCTTGACTAGGACTATCTGTTTGTGTGTCTGGCACAAACGTGAAGCATCCCGCCCATTGCACAGGTGCACACACATGGGCCATCCTCTGTATGCTCTGACTGGAGGGCGTGATGGTATCTATTGTAACGGCCAAGCTATCAGGGAAAGGACAGACAGGGTGGGTGAGAGACAATCAGCCTGTGTTTTTCCCACAGCCTGGCCTCTCCTCAAAGCCTCCTGCAGAGAGACAGTTAATCAATGAAAGAAGAGCTTCACTGACAGCCAGGTTTCAAGGAAAGAACAGTGGAGCCTTCAGTGTAACGCTGTCAAGTCAGCTCTTTGTTTGTAGAACCAGTCATGGCTCTCAGTGATTCAAGACTGTCAAACCTGTTAGCTTTTTCAGCAAAGGGACAGGATTGGGCCTCCTTTGCTCTAATTTCATGCACTTAATGTGTGCTCTGATGCTGAAGGAGGCCGCTCCCACCCAGCTGGTGAGGTGACAGTGGTAGTGGCATAGTGGGAAACCAGTCTCCCTCTCCCTCTGTCTTTTTATATTTTGTCGGTTGCTATTCACAGACCTTCTGTGCATTATATAAAATCATACATATTGGTAGTTTTGTTGCTCATGTCTTGTGTCTTTCCATTTTTGCATTTGCCTGTATGCTATTAGTCAACCTTAAAGGCACTTGTTTCCAAAAGTGCATCATCATTGCTTGTGATGACTGTTTGTGTGGAGCTTCCTGATTCCATTTTCCATTTGGAAGGGGAAAACCCACAGTTTGATGCTGCAGACTTTTGTTTGCTGCTTTTATTGTTTGATTGGGGGTTTGTCTTGTTCTCAAATGTTGATTTACATTTCATGCTAAGACAGTCCTCAGTAGAACTTTGATTCAGTACAGCAAGGGATGCAAGGGCTGCTTTCTACAGCTGATGTTTTGTGCCACCATTTATCATACTAACAAAGAGAAATCTGTCCTAGAAAAACATTTTTTTACATTGACAGTGCAGTTTGTTTTCCAGATGTAATTCAGGGTATTGTTTGAAATCACCAGGCTGTCGAAGCAGACTTAAGCAACACTTGATTACCAAACTATTCCTGGAGCAAACTGCACGTCACAAATCAATATCTGCTTAGCAGTATGGCCAGTGTAAGAAAGTATCCGAGGGAAGATTTTAGAGGCCACATCTCCCTGTGGAGCCTGTAATGAGGTCAGGTGTCTCTACCCACCTGGACTCCAGCAGCTGATCTGCTTGTGCCTTTCTTTTTGTCCTGCTGAACCTGCAATGTTAGTGGAAAATTCTTCTCTTGGTTGCACCAGAAAATAAAACATCTGCCAATTGATGATATTCAATCAGTGGTGGAATGTAACTAATTACATGTACCCAAGTACTGTACTGCTTTCTACTTTGACTCCACCATGTTTTGGGGGCAAATATTAAACTTCATACTCGATTCCATTCATTTTTAAGGAGATTTAGATTATTAACATGAAATCTACATTAATGAATGCTGTGTTATTATGGATTAAGCTACCCAGCAGAGTATACAGTAATTGAAGGTAGCTACAGCTGCACCAATACAGAGATTTACACATAATTCAATTGATATTATTAATATTCCTTAAACATAACATGATTCAGAAATGGGCTGTTTTGTATAGCACTTTTTTTTTAGGTACTTAAAGTATATTTTAATACTTTTGTATGTTTACCAAAGTACGATTTAGAATGCGGGATTTTTACTTGAAACATTGCTACTTTACAGGATTTGAATGCTTCTTCCAGCACCGTATACAATATAGCTGCCCTGTAGTGTAGAAGTTAATGCTGGGACTGTAATGTTGTTGTGCTACAGGGTTTTTTGAATTTTTGTTGAAATGGTTACAGAGAGGTTTTTATTCAATGTGATGATCATTTTGGAGAATGCACTTTGCTGTGCTATT